GCAGGGTATCCATGCAAGTCTCAGCAAGTCATGACAGATGTGAAGAGTACTAAGCACAGTGTCTGTCTGGAAGATTAGCATGTACTGTAGTGTAGTAATAATTCCTAGAGCTTTGTATCTTCCCTAGTTTTGTCAGGAATATATTGCTTTTTATTGTCAAATTTTCATGCAAATAGAGCGAAAATTCAATGGAAAATGTGTAATTTATTCAAACGGGTACTGCCGACATATTCAAACCCCGCTGCAGAACACCTCGGGAATATGGAAAGACCAGCCCGTTACCCAATCTCGTTAGCTAACCGTTAGAGCTTGCCTAACGGTGCACTGATGTTATTTACTTATCTTTCTGACAGTTAGGTAACGAGGAGACGCGCGTCACGTACCGCGCAGTGAACTGTTCGGTAACGGCATCAACTCATTTATACCTCACGGCGCGCCGGCGGTGTAGTGCCTACTGGCACATGATAGGAAAGGGCCCTGCTTACCGCTGAAAACCCGGTCACAGTTGCATCGGATCAGGCTGCCGTTGACTGATCGCGCTTTCCTGCCAAGACGCCAATACAAACTGTCGCTTCTGCGAGGAAATGGGCATGATACGCTGAATTAAAGAGCGAATGTAGGAGTAACAGCAAAGACCTAGAAGGCCGAGATCGCGAGGTATCCGAGCGCAAAGGTGCTCAAAAAAGCCGCCCCCGCCATCTCTACTAGCTCCTCAAGACTATATCCGTTGACAGCTGCAAAAGCGAACGCGACGGTCGTGAGAGTTTTGAACCTGGAATGGCCCAGCAGCTCGTCAACTTCATGGGCAATGGAGTCCTCAAGATCTTCGGGGTGGCACTCGAACCGTATGGTGTGTATATGTTCCGTGCGGATCGCCGTGAGGACTGCCTTGACACACGGCCAGAACATCAACGCCGCCTTAATAAATTTGCGGCCGAGCTCGTAGTTCGCCAGAAACGTCAGTGACTCCAGGCGGGTATCGGCCTCGAGGCTTGCTATCGCTACAGTGAGGGTTAGCAACGAGCAACATTTCCTGAGATACTAACACACCTCGCCTAAGCGTATTCTCCTTGACGGAGAATTCCAGCGCGAGCGTAAGGTGTTTCAAGTTTGTGCCGATTGCGCCAAAATACAGCGGGAGAGCCTCAAAGTCGTCGCCGTCAGGCGGGCTGAGGTGTAGCGTCTCAATGAGTGACTCGGGCAGCGCGACGAGCCGATTCGCGATGTCCTTCATGATGAGCACGTCGCAGTGCTGCACTTGAAGATGCCGCAGCGCCGAGCCAGGAGTCTTGTTTGGGGGAAGCCTGCGGTAGGACGACGGGTCGGAGCCTGAGGTGGCGTACCATTCTTGTGCACTCTTTGCCCAAAAGACGCGTTCTACCTTAAGGCGGATGAGGAGCGGAAAGGCGGTGAGGAAGGAGAGGAATTCCTGCGCGTCAGCGAAGTCGGACATATAGACGTCCAAGTCCGTGACGGACGGGAAGGCTTCGCAGAGTCGGTTCTTGTTCTCGAGCTTGTGCGAGACCCAAAAGAGCCGGGTTAGCCGTAAGGTCTGAACGTGTGTGAACCGGGCCAAGGCGCGCCAGAAGAGGTCCCCGTAGTCGACAGTGTTCGCCTCGTCGGGGTGGAGAAGACCGTAGTCTGTCTTTCCCTCGAGCAACAGCTCTTGGGTATACTCGGACACAACGGGCAAGGACAGCAGTTTGTATACCTTATCAACTTGTGATGGATGGATTCTACAATTTTGATGATACAGCGTGACAGTACGGTGAAGATGGTAGCGGGCGCGAGGGAGCCATGCACGGGCAGTGAGGGCGCACGACTTCAAGGTCCCTCGATCGACTCGGACTTCATCGATGATTTGGTCGGCGAGCTCTTGGGGGAAGACGCGACGTTGAGCACCCCATATCCCTGCCTCTGAGCCGCTATGGAGACGCATTGATGCCCTATACGTGTCCCATCACGCACATGAGATAGACGGCATGTTCTGCAAACGGCTACTCACGACATGCTGGGCTGACGCTACAAAACGATGCTCTGCTTCCTCGCAAATCTCAGCCGTCTCTTTCTTCCGTTTCTTAGGAGAGAGGATGGAGGACGGTCAAATCTGTCACATCCAACAACCAAGGGAGCTGAACTATATGCAAAGCCACGTTGGGAATCCAGTCCCCAGCCTACGGGCGGTATGTCAGGGCAAGGCCACTCTAGACAAGACCGAGCCTTACAGGGCGTGGGAAAGCCAAGTAGACCCACCGAGCTCAAACACCGCCACAACTGCGGGCCCAATGCGCATACAGCTCGCACTCCGAGCAGTTACGGTACAGAAAATCAGAAGTCTACGATTGATTGCGGGTAGGCTGCGCGGGCTGGTATCAGACATAGTAGCATAGGGAGGACGTGTCTCCGGATACCTGGTCAGTGGTCGTGATCGACGACGACACCGATCAAGACCGGGATGCAGACGCCACAGATCACTAAAGTTGTCCGAACCTTTTCGTCTAACTCCTCAGATGCAGCCTTGCCGGGCTGGAGCACGGTGGCAACGTACAAGAAGGTCCCACCCTTGACAAAGAAGACATGTGAGACCCCAGTCGTGGCTCCCAATAGCGAGTGAGCATACTCACCGAAATAAGCATGCATATACCTGTCCAGGGACTCTCGCTGTTCACGCGAATGATGGACATGAGCCCGTACACAAGAAGAGCACCGACGGGAGTGGACGCGCTGAAAATGGCGACGTGTTTTCGACATTCCGATCGAGATAGAGATGTCGCCATTAACGATGTCGTCAACGCTAGCACCGCTGGCGCTACGGAACGAAGATGTTGATGCACTGGAGAGCGTAGATGTGCTATTGCTCACTCACCCTTGTGGACAAGAAGTGCTAAGAAGACCGTGATGGATAGACCTTTGTCGACCGGGGATAGTGCAGATGAGCCTAGCGCGAAGCCGTCTGCCAGAGCATGTACCATAAGTCCAAGTGTAAGAGGCCATGCCTTTGTCTTGTCCGCAGCTTCGTCCGCATGATAGGCAGTCGTTATTGATGAGTCCACGCCTTCTTCGTGTTCCAGCTCCCCAAGCTCGACATCGAAGTCGACGCGACGCGCTGCGTTCTCGTCGGCTTCAAACAAAGGCAAAGGCGCATGGCTGTGCGAATCTGGCGAGTAGCTGTGTATCACGCGTTCGATGATGAGCATGATTGAGAAGCCGACTACGAGCGAAAGCGCGATGGTTGTGGTGGGAAACGTGGCGGAAGGGTTAGCAAGGGAGACGGCCTCCACACCTCTGAAATTGACAGGATGGTATGCACGGGTGAGTAGTGTTATAGGTCACATAGACGGACGTACTCTGGAATGATGACGCCCAGGGCCGTCCCGAGCAGCAAGCCCGCCCCCACACTCGACAAATGTGCTACCGCCATCCCTACGACACTGCCTCAGCTGCAACCCGGAGCTCACGCACGCAACTTGTTCACGTACGAGAAAAGGTGAAGGCCAGCGGCAGCATGCCGACGGCGAACGAGCCCAGGCCAAGCACGGCTGTCATTGTCAACAAGCCCACCAAGCCGGACATGGTGGCTTTGCTAAATGAGCATACGTTTCAGGACATATTCTGGTAATTTATCTGCAGAGCGTACTGAGTTCTTGGTCAAGAGGAGAGATTGTGGACATGCATCTCGTATTGAGGGTTTTAATTTGGCATCTCGAGGGCAGTTCTCAACGATTTCCGGCATTTCGGCAGCTCGGCCGCCGCCGTCGCGCAACGTCCGGCCATCGCCGCCAGCACTGATAAGGCAACTCTCCAAGATGTGACAGAATGCGAATCACCATACAGCACACTTTGGCAAAGCAGCGGTGTTTCTATAGTACACATTACAACAGTATCCGTCACATCCCAATAACACACTTCCTCTAACCCTTGGTCATGTCCGGCTCCGCTTTCTTTAACCGCAAATTAGCCTGTTCTAGCGCGCGGTACATGTCCGCGGCGAACGTCGAACCAGGCTTTAGCTGCAGTGCTGCCATAAGCTCGGGCACGGCATCCCGTGTTAATAGTAGGTGCCGATGTTCAACATTGTCTATTTCTTCCGCGGATGGGGTTGAAGACGCATCCGAGTCCAAGTCTTGCTCGCTCGACGTCTCGACGGTGCTGGGGGTAGGCGAAACCTTCTTTGATGCTTTGGCATACTTCGCGTACACTCTGTCCAGCGCACTACTTGGCTCGGCGACAATGGCGCCTTTGTCGAGTAGCTGTTCTAAATATGAAGAAGCCTTGTAGGCTGTGATATAGTGAGCATCTAGGCGTAGCCTCTTTTGATACAGAGAGATCTCACCTTTATAATGCGACCACGATCTCCACACACAGAAGAAGAACGGGAGGTTAGGTATCACAGCTGGTGGTACAGGTGGGCATAATTGGCAACGAAGAGGAAGTGACTACTCACGAATTAGCATGAACGGCGCCGTGAGTGGCGACACCAGTATCCATGTGAAGAAGCCCTTTCTATGCCGCGGGCCGCGCTTCTCGACCAAAGATCGCAGATGGGTGACGGGAGATGAGCATGCTGAACTCGGGTAGATGAGGGGAATCTAGAAGTCACACATCAAGAAACGAATTCATATGTTCATAAGCAGCTGCATCAACAGTTTGGCTTGGGATGGAGATACAATGGAGGGCAAGACCTACCGTAGAGTTTGGTTTGACTTCTGCTTCCGAATGGCCGAATCGCGAGAGCTTTGGCCCAAGAGAAGGATCCAGTGACTTTAGTGCAAGTTCTTCGAAGTCTATCCGGTCAACGAGACTTTCTCCATACGAAAATGTTCTCCTCTATAACTTCAATCAATCGACCACTTCCTGAAGTCGCGTGCGCCCACAAAGTAACACGCCATAGGCAGCACGGTACCACGCGAAACACATACCTTCCAGTGTCCTTCCGGGGCTTTACCAAAGCCAGCCCAAATATCTGCAGCTTTATGTGTAGCCCACTGTACCCAGCTCCGTTTCCCATTCTGCTTCGGCGGCGGTGTGGCAAAGTGGTAGTACGTCAGATGACCAGAAGAACTACGTTCTGGCGTTCGTGAAGCGGTTACGAGCGGGAGCGCAACGATGCGCAGCGACTGCTTGGCTACCTGAGGTACGCCAGACATCACAAGCTGATCTTGCGCGCGATGCACAAGATGGAGAGAAAAGAGAGAAACAGAGGGCCTTTCAGCGCATAGAGAACAAGTATTGGAGTTAATTGGCGTGGAAAATGGTGTGACGCGTGGAGAGGCGGCACGCAGACTCACGTGCGGATGACGCCCGCGCGGCGCGCACCTTGCACAGGACCGCGTCCTGCGAGCTCACATCGTCCACCAAATTATCCCTTGTAGCCAACATGGATTCCCCGGAACCAGGCTCTCCCATTTCCCGCTCGTCGTCGGGTAGCCCTATGCCCGATGAACCACCATACCTGCTCACCTCAGAACTGGCCTCCTTCATGAGCAGTTCGCGGGGCGAGTCGTACCTCAGTGGCGGCAAGCGTCGCCTGCCGATGGGCAGTGTATCCTCGTCCGGCACAAAGAGTCGCAGACGCGAGGAAGCCCCTGGAAGGCGAACCGGAGGCGGCGGTGTCTGGCAGCAGACGGAGATAAGGGACTATACCGGTGGCAGAGCTCAGCGAGAGGAGCTGGTCGATCAGCACATCGTTGACAACATTCGAACAGGTAAGTGCCACATATACACCCACAACGGTTCTATGCTTAGGACTCATGAAGATTGGGGTGACCCCTTCGATGAGTCGGCCATCAAGACCTCGAGTTAGCCATCGATTGCCAGATGGGCGTATCATTAGGTGAGTATAGCAGGCTCCCTCCCATTGCTGGCCCTTGTCTTGTCCAGCTTTAGCTTACCTGGAGATTTTCAAAGCTGTACAATAGGCTGTACAAACTTTTGTGTCCTATTCATTGCGTTACTCTTCATAGCTCAAAGCTCAAAGATTTACCCGGGAATGACTGCGCAATACGCACGCCGAACATCAGTACCTGCTCCCTGGGTAAACAATGCCCCAGATGTTTGGAACCTCCCCTCGCATCAATATGCTTGACCGCTCGGGGCTCAATACTTGGTCCTCGCATGTCATACCGGACTCGCGATCGCAATCTTTGCTGGTGCATGGCATACGGCATTCTCAGAGTGCATAATATTTTTCTTCATTTGAAATACTTATGCTCTACTATACTGACATTCGATAATTTGCTCAACATCCCTCCAATCATACTTTAGAACGACACTGCCTTGAACCACGCAAGCTCGCGGCAGCCCAAGGGCGCCGAAATCCAGATGTAATTGCTGATTCTAAAAACCCACGGTTGCTGTGCTTGGACTAATGACTCAAAGAGCGTGAGTGTTGAGCTGGAGCCGTGTATGCTAGCTCTCCGTGATTGGTAGCAGAGAGGTAGAGCGGTTGGTACGGAGGGGTATAAATGTACTATCCCACGTCCAGCTCTAGCATTGTTCTCTAACCCCGATGCCTAACAAACAGAAAGCTCTCGTCTGCTACGAAGTCGGCAGCGTACTCTCCCTGGAGCTCATCGACATTCCCGAGCCCGGGCCGGGTGAAGTCCTCGTCGAACTTCGGGGCATCGGGCTCAACTCGCTGGACTGGTTAATGCAGGATCGGGGTTCCTTCGTCAAGCAGTGGCCTGCAATCTTTGGCTTCGATGCTGCGGGTCTCGTCGCGAAGGTCGGCGAAGGCGTGACGAGCGTCGCGGTCGGGGACAGGGTGTACGCTGTGTTTACAGCTGTTGGACAAATATGTTATAACAGACTCACAGGATGCATTCGGGCACGTTGGAAGAGCCGCAAATGTCGACATTCAAGCAGTACACCGTCATATGTGCTGATTTTGTGGCGAAGGTGCTTTTCCATAGACGCTTCGACGAAGCGTTAATAACTGAGCAAGACACTGATAGGTGCCGCCGAACATATCCCTGGATGAGGCCTCAGCTATTCCTCTCGTATTAGCTACCGGCGCATTTGCTCTGTATGACTCCAAGCATCCGCCTCGTGGGGGCCTCGCTTTGACTCCACCTTGGGAAGATGGCGGTCGCGGCAAGTATGCCGGAGAACCTATCGTCATCGCAGGTGGTGCAGGCAGCGTTGGACAATTCGGTAAGAATCCACTGTAACTGTACCGTAGAGTGAACTACATTGATTCCCGGTTCAGCGATCCAGCTTGCCAGGCTCTCTGGCTTCTCACCTATCGTTACCACTGCCTCAAAGCACAACGAAGCGTACCTCAAGTCTCTCGGCGCGACGCACGTAATCGATCGCGTGCTCCCTCTGGCTACACTCGCTACGAATGTTGCACAGGTTACAGACAAGCCTGTCATGTACGCGTTCGACGCAGTCTCGACGTCAGAAACGCAGAACGCAATGTACGATCTTGTCGCGCCCGGCGGTAGCCTGATCATTGACAGGCGGTCCGAGATCGATGAAGCGAAGCTTGCAACAGGCGAGAAGTATGTCGCTCTGGTGTCCGGCGATGCGCAGAATCCACAATCTCATGAGTGCGCGAAGGCGCTATACGCGCATGCGACAGAGTTGTTCGCATCGGGGGACATCAAGGTACGTCGCTGTTTCTCAGCAATTGTCAGGAGGGTGCTCATGCAGGCACGATGCAGCCCAACCGGATTGAAGTCGTGCCTGGCGGACTGGCAGGAGTGACAGCGGCTCTGGATAGGCTGAGAGAAGGGCTTAGCGCACTGAAGCTCGTCGTTCGCCCACAGGAGACTCCTTGAAGACTCGGTCGACTACCGTTTGAGCTGAACAGCATACGTTCAATCCCCACTCATAAGTCAAGCTAATGCTCTGGATATAGTAGTGTATCGCTTGTTTGTAAGCATAATCAGAAACCACCCCCGCTCATCCCCCCCTTAAGCGAGAAGGACAAAGGTGTCACAACGTGTGGCTGTGTAGCTCCACGAAGGCCCAACAACGGTGATTATTCCGACTCGTCAGTGCGTGAGCAATTGCAGCCGCGTCCCTCGCGCGAGCTACAGATCCATGTAAGAGTCGCTATTCGCTAGCATCTCGCGCATGCCCGATCCTGTAGATATGTCGACCGCGCTTTTGAAGCGGTACACCTTGGGCGCAACAGAAGGATATGCTCGGTGCTTGGACTGTAACACCGAGCATGCCTTTCGCGAGATAACTTGGCGCTAACATGTCTTATCAGCCTGGCTGCGTTTTCTCAGAGTGCAAGACGCAAAATTAGCTAGAGGATGGCATCTGACCGTATCATTTCCGAGGAATCTCCAGAGGACCAGTCTCTGCATATATAGACCTGGAAGCCCGGACATCAATGCGCATCCATCAGAGCCGACATGCACAGCAACTACAAGGTCCTCAGAGGCGAGTGTCAAGATCCATTGCGTATTGTTGTAACAAGGCTGACAAAATATGGCGAAATGTATCTCAGAGGAGCAGGCGGCCTTCTTTCTGGAGAATGGCTATGTCGTGATCAAGCAAGCATTCACCAAACAGAAGGCTGCAGACTGGTCTAAAGACGTCTGGGTTCGGCTCGGAATGGACCCGAACGACAAATCTACGTGGACGAAAGAACGGATCCACATGCCATGGCATAAGCGCGAGAAGGTTTCCACGTTCGCACCCAAGGCAAGCATGACCATGTCATACGTAAAGTGGCTGGATGCACGATATGGTCGTTAATTGATATCGCACAGGCATGGGAAGCGATGCAAGATCTCCTCGGAGAGGGACGCGTCGATGAGGACAACTCGACGTGGGGCGACAGCTTCATTGTCAACCTTGGGAGCCTAGAGCTCGCAGCTGCCACCGAAGACATCCATCCTCGTGACCTCGACAACTGGCACGTCGACGGCGACTTCTTCGTGCACTATCTCGACTCGCCGGAGCAGGCGCTGCTCGTTATCCCCCTCTTTTCGGACATCAAACCTCGCGGAGGCGGGACATACATCGCGCCGGAGGGTATAGATATGGTCGCCAACTACTTGGCAGCACATCCAGGGGGCGTCATTCCTGTGACAGGAAGACTTGTTCCGGCTACGACAACATATGAGAACCCTGCCGATGATCCCGAGGGTTGGGTCCACCGCAATGCCGCCCCAGAGTGCTCCAAATTCGTTGAGATGACGGGAGAGATCGGAGACGTTGTGCTCATGCATCCTCTCATGCTCCACTCAGCATCGAAGAACTACTTGCGGGAAGCGAGAATCATCATCAATCCGCCTGTTTTGTTGAAGGCGCCATTCAAGTTCGACCGCGAGGATCCAGAAGAGTTCAGCTTGGTGGAGAGGAAGACGCTGAGGGCTTTGGGAGTCGACAGGCTAGACTTCCGACCTACGACGGCGCGCAGGAGGGTTGTGCCAAAAAGCATGGCGGCCAAGAATACGATGTTGGAGGAGGAAAAGAGGCGGTTGGCGGAGTTCGAGAATCAGTCTCATACTGCGCCTGCAGTGGCAGCCATAGCATAGGTCATACAAAGCAAAGACTACTGCCCTTGCTGACTGGCGTGCACACATGGGGCAAGTTGAAAGCATTAGCTCGCGATGTCGGCTAGTTGGCGGGATTTGTGGAGCTTTTTGAGTTCGCCCAGGACGTCGAAATTGTAGCCAGAGGGTAAGTTAAAGAGTATAGGACGCCAGGTGACAAAGCCGCAGTAAACACAGAGCGCATATTGGTGGTCACTAGCTGCGCAAGCGTCGTTCAGGGTGCGTTATAAGCTCGTTTGTAGCACACGCAGGAGATCTAGTAGTCGACATGCCTTCAATTAACGCCCTACCGTACATCGCATTTGTCAACGATGCGGTGCGCGACTAGCAGCGGCGTCTAGCGCAGTGTGCAAGGCTCAGGAACTGCGGCCCACCCACTATTGCGTGTGAGATGTGTTGGTCGCAAGAATTTGAAGGCATCGACGACTACATAGCCAGCGATATGGCAAGGAAAAGGGCATGCGTAGCCTTCAGGGCAATCGCCTGGATAGATTTGCGTCTCAGCATCTTCTGCATATAAATGCATGCGTACTAACGCGCCGGGTTGCTTACCGTCTCAAATTCGACGGGGAAGAAGAGACCCTGAACGTAAGGTGTCAGCGATATGATACTTGCCCCCTGGGACAGCGCTGTCCCCATGAGTACTTGACGATCCTTAAATGGGCCTCCGCGTCTGAGCAACACGTTGTACCCGGGTTCTTTTTGGAGAGCCGGGGGGCGAAAATTTTGCTGCGAGCATTGGGCACGGAGCGTCAAGTCGCAATATTGCGCCGAGATGAACGTTGCCATCTCAGCGAGCACTGTCAAAGCGTTGCGATAGGTAAGAAACAGAATAAGAAACGGGACAATAGCTCTGGTAAAGCCTGTAAGAAACTTTTGAATAAGGTTTGATGGAACTTGTGATTGGTAAGGTCGGTGCCGTTATGATTGGGCTCCGCCGATGCAGTCGCTTCCGTCTAGGCGTCAGACAGCGGGCGGACCCTTGCTGAATGAGCTATATCATGGCAAAAACCGTCGTCGACCCCCCGTCCTCTCAGCTGTGCTTTGCTTGCGCCGCCAGACGGCTCGTGATCCCTGCCAGCCATCAGCTGGGCTGACGTTTTATCACAGCGGAGCGAAGAGCATGGTGCGTGCGTGTATCGTCCTCTATGAGAGAACTGCGACTCGGATTCGCGGTCTTTGCTCATGTCGTATCGTTAGGAATTGCGCATGGCGACGCATCCCTCCGCAGACACGTATCACCATTTATTTCAGGTGAGTAAAGGCATTCCCGCCAAACGCGGTCGGACGCCTATTGCGTCTGTATCCCTGATGCCCGAGATCGGCGGCCGCGCATCAGGGGGTTTGCGAAACGCCGCGAACTCGCCCTTACCGGCGTGTCCTGCGTGGATGGGGCTGGCGTCTCTTATAATCCTCCTTGGACTGCACCTATCACTCGCTCACATGGTTGCGGCTCGGAGCTGTGTGGTGGTACGGCGACAGGGGCCAGAAGAGTCGCACAATGCTTGCCCAGCAGTAGCGGGCCCTTTGCGCCTATCGCTCCTAATCGTACACCTCATCAGTACTGACGAGCTGCGCTCACAGGCTTCGCTGAGCGCAGAGGCTCCCGTACCTGATAGATCATCAGCTGCCATGTCTCCCATCCATAATCTGCCAGTCGAACTGCTGTCTCGCGTCTTTGCCCTGGGAGTGCTGGACAGGCCGTACCCGGACCTTACCCCTCTTCACGTGCCTTCATTCGAGGTCCTCGTCTCTCATGTCTGTCACCACTGGCGTGACATTGCGCTCCGCACACAGTCTCTCTGGACGACGCTTAACTTTCGGCTGAAGTGCCACATGGACCGTGCGCACATATACCTCTCGCGGAGCAACCAGCTGCACGTTGATATCTTCGTGGATACGTGCGCGGAGGATGAGTACGAAGAAGGTTATAACCTCTTCCGCCCTGAATTCAAGCCTATCTTCGAGATTCTTATTCCTGAAGTTGATCGCTGGAGGTCGCTGACACTGAAGGTGCGCGATCGAGGGTGCAAGCTTGGTGCACGCGACGTGCTATCGTCATGCGGATCGGCGCGGAACCTCGAATATCTCCAACTCTGGCATATCGAGGACTGGGACAGCGCCGAGAGGCTCTTCACACAGATTGGGCCGCCTCCGGTCGTCATCTTCGATAGGTCCCTTCCCTCTCTGAAACACCTCTCGCTGGTTGGTGTAAACGTGCCTTGGCTGCAGTCGCCCTTCCTGGAGGATCTCACGTCAATAAATCTTGCGCTGCACTCTGAGGACGTCCGCGTCCCGTATCATATCTGGGCGAATATGCTCGCGACGAGCCCCAGGCTCGAAAAGCTGTCGCTACACTACTCCGGACCGAAGGCAGGCGTGCTCGCTTGGCCCGAGACAGTCATTCCTTTGCCAGGCCTCAGGGAGCTGTCTCTGACCGATATGGACCCGCCGTACATGTGCGAAGTCATCCGCCGCTTGCACATGCCGAACGTCGCTCAGCTGCGCCTCGAGTTACCAGCGCAGGAACCCGATGCCGACTTTGACGGCTTCCTTGCGTATCTCATCGCCCCACCGCCTCATCCCACTACTGAACACGATGCGAAGGAGGGATCAGAATCGGAAGCCAGCGGACCACTCTTCCCTCAATTGCGCACACTAGCGATCTATGCCCTCGAGTGCAGCGCGGGGAGCTTCCGCCGCCTGCTTGAGGTCTCCCCGCATGTAACACGACTCGAGCTCGGTTGCAAACGACTGACCGAAGGACTCTTTCGGGAGCTGTTCCATGTCGGCTTGGACGATAGGAAGGGCAAGCAGAGGGAAGGCACGTCGCGTATGCGATATGACTCGACGCAGTGCATGCTGCTGCCAGAGCTAGACGTTGTGCGCGTCTCCGGGATCACGAGCACCGAGCTTGTGGAGTTCGTCAACTTTCGCCGACAGCTTGGGCGACCGGTGAAGAGGTGGCTTGTCAGTGAGCGCATGCGAGATCTGGAGCTGGAGCGTGTTGCCAATGACATGCTGCAGCGGGGAGAGAATGAGCGGATTAGTTGGTTCTCCTCGGAGGAGGACGAGGATGATGAAGAAGCGGAGGAAGAAGAGGAAGAGGATCAGGAAGAGGAGGGGGAAGACGAAGGCGATGGAGAAGACGATGGCGACGAAGAGTAGCGTTCTTGTTAAGTTAAGCCCCTTAGTGTGTCGCATCTAGGTTGCTTTCACGCAGTACTTGATGTCGAGCTTCTTCGGCCTCTTTAATCAGGTTATAACACTGCTCCAGACTTGTTTCGCATTCATTTTCACTTTGGGATAACTTGTATCTTCAACCACAAGCCCCGAAAGTTGTAAGTCACCGGTTTCTTACTATTGGATCCCCTCTTACCTGCCCTAGTCATTCTCAGTTTCATGATCGTTGAGGCTTGATTTTTGTCTAAGATTCGTTTGATGTCGACCGAGATTATGATTCTGTGCAATGCGAAATCTGCTCGAACCGAGATCTCCCCACGACAGCTTGGTGCCCACTGAGCCTCAGAGCTCTGCAAATTGAACGTACGGGAGACCACGATAGGACATATGTACAGGCCGCGGAGCAAAGAACGGCCCATCATCAGGCTTGCTGCTTGCGCGGCCTGGTTATGTCAGCCTGAGATCTCTCAGGAGAATGAGGCGGACTTGACGGCCCAGTTCTCGAATATCTGGTCGGGCAGATCACTAGGTAGCTGAGGCCCATGAATAAGCCTGACGGTTTTACTTCCGGTTGGTCAGGAGCCGCAGTCTGATTAGCACTTTCAAAGCCTGCAAGATCAACTGGCGTATGCGGGTGGAGCGGTTGACATGATGCGTCCAATGAGCTTGATGTGACGAACTCCATGCCAAAGGTGAGCGCTGTGCAGAGATAGAGCTGGAAGGTGATTGTTGGTGGGCCGATGACCCTCAGATAGCGATGAAGGAGGCAAGGGCGAAGGTTCAAACCGTGAGACGCATTCGACACACTTAGGACATGGGAGGCGGGCACAGGTGCAAATATCAATTCGAACAGGTCACTTTCGACACGGCCGTCGAGCTTGCGTACATGCCTCGTAGGACGTGTGCTTGCTTCACGGTAAAGACCTTTCTGAAGTGACATGTGTAGTTCTCCACAGATCATGCAGTCGAAGCCGTACATCGGGCGACTGTTTCTGAGATCTGAAACTCTGAAGACAGGAGCCATGTCACTGAGGCTTGGATGTGCAGCCAATCTCACTACACTTACATCGTCTTCTGTGGGTATCACACTGGTCTCATCGGGCTCAAGGCTGTCGACGCTTCGTATCATCTCGCGAGGGCGAGCACAGGGGCTCAAAGTCTTTGGTGATCTTGAGACATACAACATTATTGTGCGATCGCCCATGTGATTTTCAAGATTTTCAGATCCCGTCACCTCCGCAGGCCCCTGATCGGCCAAATTCTTCCGCCCACCCTTATTTTTGGCCGGTGCCCGAGCCACAGCAGGCGGCGAGGACGAACGTTTGTTTTCGGCCCAATCACAAGAATGCAGCAACTCGCAACCATGTAAGCACCAACCGCGAAGATACCAGCCATGAAACTGCCGTCACGAAAGCGGCTGCCGAGGCTCGAGAAAACACTAGCGGAGGCCTCTAGTACGTAGACGCCCACAATGCGGGGCACGCGTCGGTTCGAACCAAGACCCCGGAAACCTCCCTCCGCGCGCAAAGTCGTCCCGTCGCGCTGTAGCGTTGCCACCACTTTGTGAGGCATCCAGTACTGTAGTGTACAGTTATAAGAACTCCCCTAAATATGTTTGTGCTAATCCACTTCAGTCTGGCCTTTTGCGAAACCCTGCATCATTCACTGCATGTTGCGACTTATGTGCATGAAGAGCTCCAGATCTACGGCTGGAGAGGACGGATATCTCATCAGGTATAAGTACTGTATGCCGTGCCGCATTGCAACAACAGCGTTTTAAAGCTTACGCTCCGCGGAGGCCATGTGTGTCTTGCAGACGCGAAATTACGCAAGAAACCGGCGTGGGAACGAACCTGCTCAGGATCAAGATTCAATATTTGAGGCTGCGTGAGTTGATGAACGTGCTATCCGCATAATATAAATCATTTTGGCCGGCCCTTGCAATAGCGCCTATCTCAGGACGACGCGAACGTGGCCCGCGCTCCAGTCTCCGACCTGCTTTCGTTGGTGGCAGTCGCCACCGATGAGCGCAAAACATGACCTCCTTGATACACACGTGAACGGTTCGTAATATGTGTAATCACATCCCGGAGATCTCGTTCCTGGACGGCCGTCCGCATGTCATTAGGCGTTCAACGACCCGCCGGGCAGCAAGAAGCGTACATATACCTCCAATCTACCATGTCTATTCTTCGCTCGACCTCGCGCCTTTCGTTTCGTCATGGCTCGACTCGCTGCGCTGTTCGCCCTGCTCGCTGGCCTCCCCGCTGCTCTCGCGGTTGCCAACGTCACCGGCATCTACGGCATCGTTGAGCGTCGGATGCCCCAGCATGCGCGCGACTTCGTGTTCACCTCTATGGAAGGGGACGGCGACGTCTTCGTTGTCAGCGATACCGTGAACAAGACAGGCAGTATCACGGTGACGTGCACCACCACCAGCGCATGTGCTCGGGGGCTTTACACGTACGTATGTTGTAGCAGGAAGGCACGTCCGTACGGCTTACAAAATTTTGATAGATACGCCACCGAATTCGGTGGTGTCGATATATTCTGGACCGGTTCACGCCTGCATGAGCTGCCGTCGCCACTTCCCAAGGTTGGCACCCCCATCAACGGCAGCGCCATCGTCCAGTACAGGTACCACTTCAACACCGTCACGTTTGGATACACCACTGCGTTCTGGACCTTTGACAAGTGGTCCTTACTGCTGGACTGGCTTGCATTGCGTGGCGTCAACATGCCACTCGCCTGGGACGGCTACGAGGCCATCCTCACCGAAGTGTTCCAAGAATTCGGCCTTTCAGACGCAGAAATCTTCGAGTTCTACACTGCGCCTCCGTTTCAGCCTTGGAACCGCTTCGGGAACGTGCAGACGGCCTGGGGCGGCCTTTTGCCCATGCAATGGATCAGCGACCAGCAGGCCTTGCAGAAGCAGATCTTACCGCGTATGCTCGAGCTCGGCATGACCCCCATCCTTCCCGCCTTCACCGGTTTCGTCCCGAGCAACATGTCCGCTCATTATCCGAACGCTTCGATCATCGACGGCAGCGCCTGGTCAGGCTTCCCCTCCACTCTCACGAACGTCTCCTTCCTTGAGCCTTTCGACCCACTGTATCCCCAGATGCAACAGTCTTTCATCACGAAGCAGCAAGAGGCGTACGGCAACATCACCCACTTCTATACTCTCGACCAGTACAACGAGAACAATCCCTTCAGTGGGAATGACTCGTACCTCTCCTCCGTGTCTACTAGTACTATCGCAAGTCTGCGTGCCGCGGATCCCGAGGCGACTTGGGTTATGCAAGGCTGGCTATTCTTCTCGAGCGAAACCTTCTGGACGAATGACCGTATCGAGGCGTACCTTGGCGGTGCGCAGGGCAACGACAGCATGCTCATCCTTGACCTGTATTCCGAAGCTCAGCCGCAGTGGAACCGCACCGATTCCTACTTCGGCAAACAATGGGTCTGGTGCGAGCTGCACGACTACGGTGGGAACATGGGCCTGGAGGGCAACCTCGCCGCCATTACCGAGGGGCCGATCGCAGCCCTGAACTCGAACGGAAGTTCGATGGTCGGTATGGGCCTTACCATGGAGGGAATGGAAATCGGAAACGAGATAGTCTACGACATCCTGCTCGACCAAGCGTGGTCGTCAACGCCACTGAACGTCTCGGATTGGGTCGCGAAGTGGGCTGCACGCCGATACCTGGTCAAAACGCTGCCTACCGAGCTGCAACAAGCATGGACTATCCTCAGCACGACGATATACAACAACCAGGATCCAAACTCGCAGGCTACGATCAAAAGCATCCTCGAGTTAGAACCTGCGACTACGGGCCTGGTCAATGTGACCGGTGAGTGTGTATTACCTTGGAACGACCGCCGCACTCACGTTCCTTTTACAGGTCATCATCCAACCGAGATCCCGTACGACACCAACACGACAATCCTGCATGCTCTCCAGCTATTCGTCAACGCTTCGAAATCGCAACCCTCTCTTAAGCAGGTGCCGGAGTTTGCGGTCGACATTTTGGAATTGTCCCGCCAGCTGATGGTGAACCGTTTCATCGACTTGTACACCGACCTCATCAACACCTGGAACTCTTCCTCTTCCACCGCTCAAAATGTCACCACCGCGGGCGTACCGCTACTCAGCCTGATCAGCGACCTGGACGTGCTCCTGTACACGAACGAGAACTACCTGTTTAGCACATGGATCGCAGACGCCAAGCAGTGGGCGCACGGCAACGTCTCCTACGCGGCATATCTCGAGTACCAGGCACGCAACCAGCAGACGCTCTGGGGCCCGCAGGGCAACATCAACGACTACGCTTCGAAGCAGACGGCGGGACTTGTGGGCGAGTACTACGCCACGCGCTGGCAGACGTTCGTCGTGATGCTGGCCGAACAGAAGACGAGCGGGCAGCCGTACAACGCGACGGAGGTTTCGCAGACGATGTTGAGTATCGGGCAAGCGTTTGATTTGAAGGCTTGGGGCGCCGCAGCCGGGGAGACGTGGGGCACGAAAGGGGACACTTTCCAGGTTGTCGACCGCGTCCTTGAGCGATGGGCGTAACAAGTATTGTATCGTGATCACTAAAAATGCTACTGGTTGTGAACGTGTAACTTCGCACCCTTTCATTGTATTCTAAGTTGCGAAAGCAACATTCGAGCTGGCCAATATGCCTGCGGCAACTGCTTGTACGGAAGTCCCGGCCCGTGCCCCGGTTCCGCGGTGTCTCGCGGACCTAGTATTGCAATATTGACTCCCAACTTCCATCTTCATCTCGTTCCCAAGCCTCTAGCACAATGCGCGAACACGGGGCCTGGCCGCTTTTCCTGTGCTTGCTCGGGAGTGGCTTTTACGGCGATAGAAGAGGTCTGCGAACCACCATTTGTTACTTTCTCAAGGTCGCGGTCCAGCCTCTGCACACCTGATGCAATGGCCTGTAGATTGGGCTCACGCGGACCGGACGACACCGATTCTCCCATTCTTTACGCCTATCACATAAACTGCTGGGACAGGTTCAGGGAACAGAGAACTCTTGAGCACCCCCGAACCACAACAACAACCCGCCAGCGTTCGCAATGACCTCAGCCTCGTTTCGCATCGAGAACCTCTATGACCTCAAGGGCCGCATCGCACTCGTCACCGGCGGAGGGACTGGTATTGGGTGGATGATAACGCAGGGCCTTGCAGCTAACGGTGCAAAGGGTATGTTGTTTTGCCCTAACCCACGGACAGCTTGTGCTGAGGTCATGCCCAGTGTACATCGCTGGACGTCGCAAGGATGTCCTCGAGAAGGCCGCAGCTTCTTTCGAAAAGACGGAAGGGAGTGGGGAGATCATACCGTATGCTTGTCATGTTACAACGTATGCGTTGTATCTCGCCAATCACACCCTGCAGTTTCGTCATGGATGCTACCAGTCGGGAGAGCATCTCTGCCGCTCAGAAAGAATTTCAGGCCAGAGAAGGCAGACTTCATATCCTCGTCAACAAGTACGCTAGCCTACATCCGTTAGGGTGAGTTCTCGCACTGAACCCCGTGTCATACAGTGCTGGCCAAACCGGGCCTGTTTCTCGCTTCTTTAACGACATGTCTGCGCCCGAGCATCAATCTCCCGAGACGTTGGGCCAAGCCATGTTCAACCACGAGTCCTTCGAAGAATGGGGCCAGCTATATGCTATCAACTCGACCTCGATATTCTTTGTGACGATGGCCTTCCTCGGGCTGCTCGCGAAGGGCAGCGAAGATCGTGCGAACTACACGTCGTGTGTGATCAACACTTCCAGTATCAGTGGACTCTGGAAGCTCGCACAGAACCACGTATGTCCCTCAGCCATCCGCATGGCGCATGTGATGCTGAGCGTGGGCTGCTCCCGCAGTTCTGCTACAACAGCTCCAAAGCGGCCGCCGCGCACCTCACGAAAATGCTGGCCGCCGAGTTCGCGCTCAAGAAGATCCCCGTGCGCGTATGTGGAGTCGCGCCCGGGGTGTACGAGTCGGAAATGACCCAGGATCGAGTGACGAAAGACGAAGTCGACGGAATCGCTATGGGAGTTTCGCCTGTGCCTGCAAAGAGACCAGGAAGGTTCGTATTCTGAGCTTCTTTCTTTGTCCGTCTGCTGACTATCCGGCAACAGCGCGCAGGAGGTAGCAGGGGCGGTCATATTTCTTGTCTCTCCCGCCGGGAACTACACTAATGGGCAAGAGATTGTAGTAGATGGCGGGGCACTTTGTGTCAATCCTTCGACAGTCTGATAGACTTCGAGCAACACATCTAAATAGCCATGGATGTATTCATACAGTAATTTGCATACAAATACATGAATAGTAAGACTTATAAGGTTTAACATAAATCATAAAGTTTCCAGTGTCGTGAAGGGCGTATGTAGCATGTTTGTGGGCTAGTGTGTATACTGCCGTATCCTTCTTAGTCTCTTCGCCTCCGTTGTATACCCCTCCTTCACCTCCTCCCCATTTTGCCAGACGCGCACCCGGACACCCATTCGCTCCGCCCTCCTCACCACGTCGCCGCCAATGGCTCTGCAGTCCCTCAGCCACAATTCTCCGAACCAGATAACACCGCCGCCAAGCATCCGCCGCACAACCTCAAGTACACCGTTCTCCGTCAGACGCTGCGAGGCAACAATCTCGAGGACGGCGAGGGGCTGGAAGACGACGAACCGCGGCGCGTCATCCGGCGTTATGACGCGGTACCGCGACCGACACGTGTCGCCGATCACGCCTAGCTTGCTGTCATCCGTGCGCGACGAGCAGAGCACGATGTGCTCCAGCCGCGGGACATGAAAACTGAGCAGGCCGGCGACAAACAGCGGGTCGCACCACGCCGGGTCAAGGTGCAGGTAGGTAAGGCGCGGCAGGCGGCTGAGCACCTTGAGGAGCTTGCGCAGGCGTAGGAAAGGCGGGTAGTAGCCCGGGCCCATGGTGCCTGTGCCCGGGCGTAGCGAGGTCAGATGAAGCGTGCGCAAGTTCCGGAAATGCAGGCGTGCAAGGAGCGAGAGGAGTGCGGACGGGATGTCGGCGCTGCTGACCTCGAGGGTAAGCGTATGCAGGGCGTCGAGCCAAACATACGCGCGCTGCGGGAGCGTACGACTGCGTGTGTCAGCGGTCTTAAAGGAGTATGTTGGGAAAGCGAGGCGCAGCTCTTGTAGCCGCCGTGAAATACAGAGCATTTGGAAGAGCTCGGCTTCGGCATCGTGCCCACGCGTGAAGCCGTGGTGGGTGTAGTCGAGAGTGGTTAAGTTAGAAAATAGCGAAGGGAGCCAAGCAAGGCGGATGCCGTCAAGTACGGCAGAGCGGAGGTGGGGAGCGTAGCCATTGAACAAGGTGTACTCCTTGGTGTCGTCGTTACTCCGATATCTAAGCGAAATATGCTCCATGCGAGGCGCATGTAGACCGGGAATATTGCCAGAGAAGCACATGAGCGCAGCACTCCATAGATATGGGGCGTAGTGTTGGAACTCTATCGTGAGTGACCGCCATCGAGCGAGATAGGGGGATACCATGCTCATGTACAGCTGGACCATTCTCGCGTCGAGATATTGTCGCTGGGTGCGAGTGCCTGCGACTAACGTCTGCGGAAGGACCTCGACATCGAGCGTACAAGCTCGCGAGCGAGATATTCGCTCTGTCCACATCCGCAGACGAGAGTCGAGGCTGATATGTCTCCAGAGAGTTGGCGTACGAAGAGCGAGTAAGCGCCAAGCTCTGCAGACGTGCGAAACCACGATGGGAAGCATAACATCGTCTTCAGCAGCGAGGACGAAAACGTGGGAAACAAGTTCAGGGGGAAGAGTCATTATCGGGTGCATTCGCTGCAATTCCTTGCTGGACCCCCGACGTCGAGCCATAGGATGGCAAAAGAATATAGAATAGTTGGAGTGTGTCGCAATGCTGGGTTCGTCCACGGAGCGTTCATGCTCGTGAATGTCATGACATGTATTACTTTTTCGTTTACTATCAACGATGAGGAAAGATAGACGATAGTTCGAGCAAAACTCACCGATCGTGACCGAGTATCTTGGATCTGACTACGTCTATCCATGAACGCGGTGGTGCGTCGTCCTTGTGTCGGGCCCGCCGCAGGAGGAAGGGCATTGCTGGTTCATCGAAGGGGAGGCAAACCACGGTCCGCCACTTCATCCGCTCTTATAGCAGCCCCTGAGTGCTACTGCCGTCACAGCAAGAGGGCGTCATCGAGTAGATGACGGGGCTATACTGCACGATTTGAGAATATGCAGCCCAGACGCGAGGCGAAAGAAACTGTGGCGGCCGATGCCCCGGAGACACACAAGAACCGTTGAGGGCGCACTGCCTCTAGTGGCTCAAGCACTCGGAGAGTCGGAGGCGGTATTTGCACGTCCGCTACGCAAGACCGAATAGATTTCCTGGCATGTCGGGCTTGTATTCCAGCTGGTTCGTCAAGGCCATCTTCGGACAGTTGAGAGGTCGAGTGTGAGAATGCTGCCGTATCGAGAGTGCTGAAGGCAAAACGGCCCAATCGCACAAAACCGGCGCGCCACCCGCCAATAGGAGACGCTCATGACTCTCGGGCCTCTCGGGGCGCATGTTCACCTGTGTTCACCGCATGACACACTTACAGATTAATTAATGAAAATGCAGATAAGGAGAATGAGAAGTCGTGGGCGGCACGGTAATGAACTTCACCCGCATCAGGGGACGGGGTCACACACCGACGGTTTCCTAAAGCGGAATGCGTCGGTAGAGACGCAAGAAGCGCCCTCGCGCTAACGGGTTGTCTGCCGACCACGATTGACTTGCATCCTCCAGGCCATGGACGAAGCCGACGCTCTCGGAGCCTTGGCCAATGCCATTACTCTCCTCACTGAAAATCCATACGACTTGGCCTTGCATGCGCAGCATGTCCGCCTTGCTCGTGAGACAGGCATGGAGGACCAGCTCGAAGCCGCCTTGGACATGGTCACAACGTTCTGGGCTGCTGGGGACTCCATTTGGCTCCCTCTACTCGACATCAGGATGAAGGGCTCCGATTTGGATACCGCTAAGGGTGCTACGAGCACACTTGCCTTGTTCGAGCTGGCGGAACGAGACTACCTATGTAAGTACTGCATTCTAGACTCTTGTGATGTCCGCGACTTATACGCGCTCCTGGAGCCATCCCACTGTTATATAAACATGCCGAGTTTATATTGGAACGATACGAACACTTCAAGGAGCAAGGAGCGCGCCTGGATGACCTCGGCGAGATGTTCACATCTGACTGGACACTCGAGGAACTTCAAAGGATAGTGACGAAAGGTGCCGGTCATTTAGGCGAGGCAAATCAAGTTTCTCAACAATTTGAGTCTATTGAGTCTTACTAACCTGTGCAATCACAGGGTCACAAACTATGGGATGTTATGAGAGACTTCATGCTGGAGTACCTGAGTGAGGCTCCTGTTGATAAGATGTACGTGCACTACACTACCTACACTGCATCCCCTCAACAAAAGTGTAGACCTGAGCTTTCTGCGCGCGTAGAAGCACTTTTGCTCGAACGTCTGAAGCAACCGCATGCCAGTATGTTCCGCGAATAGCTTCCCTCCGGACCTTGCCTCACCAATTGTAGACAACGATGAAACTTTCCAGGCATATTCATCTTTTACTACCAGCCATAGGCCTGCAGATGAATATGAATCGCTCTTGGTGAAAGCCTCAAAAGGACGCTCTCAGGCGATCAAAGCATACCAGCGCAGGGAGGAGATGGAGCACTCACTCGTACGTTCCCGTCTGAGCAGTCGTGTCCATAGTACTGATATCACCTGTAGCGACAGTCCGGTTTCTCGCTGGAAGGCTACGCATACTATATCGCTTCGGAGAAGAGAGGCAAGAAGCCTGACCTCTTCATACTCGACACCCTTTACGAGCGGGCCATTACGGAAGCAGACAAGCGCAGGTTTGACGGTGATATTGGGGCTGAGAGCGCATTGCGGGCATTTTGGTTAGGTTATGTGGATAACCTGGTGAGGCTGATTGCCTGCGTTGCGGATTGCATTAATGAAAAACGGTTACTGCTAGCGTCAGCACGACGAGGACGAAGAGGTACAACTCACGACTTTCAAGCGCGCAACACGGAGTGTTCCCAGCTGTGGTGAGATTTGGGCACGATACCTTCAATGCTTGGTGAGCGTCTTGTCAAGCTGTTGACGAATCCTCGTTCACCATTCCCTTAGGAACGTATCGGGCGTGGCGATCAGATAGACTGTAGGTCTCTCCTTAATAGATCTCCTCAGTAGGAAGATAATGGAGCTCGGCAGCGACATATCACAGTGCAATATCGGTTAGCCTTCTCACCTCCGATGTCGACCAGCTCGTACCTGTCGTTCAGGCGAAAGCTGGCTATGAAAGGCGCGAGGCTGAGAGCAAGGAGGGTGGTATGTGTGCCTAGTGTTTCTGAATGCGATGGCTTCTTATCAAGAGGTTCAGCCCCTGAGGACGGCTTTGAGGCCGCTCTGGCGACTTTGCTGGAGGGCATAGGCAGAGTTCGCACAGGTCAGTCGGCCGTTCTGCCCGCTACCCACCAAAACTGATTGTCTTTTTCAGCGAGCAAAAGTGGAGATCCCCAGCTTCGGCTGGAGAAATACTTCTCTGCCTTGGTGTGTCTTAGTCTATCCAGCTTTGGTGAGCAAGGCTGAGCAGCATCGTAGTGCACAGAAGTTGCCAATATGGCAGAACATGCCGTTATCATGTGGGAAGATGCCACAAAGTTTTACAAGACCAGCTACCTTGCTTGGATGGCGCATGCGGATATCTTGATGTAGGTTCCCCTCAAAATCTGTATACGAACCCGACCAAATGATTGTTCGTGGCTTCTAGTAAGCAGCGATTATACATCGATGCCCGGAAAATCTTCCGTGATGTCGGCAACAAGAATCTCGACTGGCCAGAAGTCATTTGGAACGCCTGGATACAGTTTGAACACGTCCATGGCTCAGTAGAGGAGCTCGAAGATTGCCTCGACCGCGTCGAGAGGGCGCGGGAAAAGGTCAATGCAAAACGCGCCAAAGATGCGGAGAAGGCTGCCTATGAGGCCATGCAAGTCGCTGCAGAGCAGCAAGCCGCAGGCGTTTCTGTCGCTGGTGTCCTGGTCCCGGATGTCGCGCCTCAAACTCAGGCCGCGGAGGAGGCGCCCATGGACGTTGATAAGACGCGGCAGCAGCGCAGTGAGAATGGGGGCAAGCGGAAGGCAGAAGACGAACTCGTGCCAGAGGAGAGCAAGAAGCGGCATACCGGTGAGTTTACTCGCCTCATGAGTCAGGCATCGGCAGCTAACACTCGTGCAGAGGCAAGCCCTGCGCCTCTCAAGAGGTGAATATACGAACAAACACCTATGTGGCATCATGGTCGTGTTATTAATCACTTCTTAGGGATCGCGAGAACTGTACGGTATTTGTAGCCCACCTACCAACCGATACCACTGAAGATGATCTGCGTACACTCTTCAAAGATGTGGGTAGATTCATGGTCTTTATGCTCCTGATTCAGATTCATACTTATTCTCCAGTGTGGTCCGATACGAGAAATCAAGATCACCTCCATGCCCAACAGTCTGGTAGCTACCGTTGAGTTCATGGAAAGGGTAAGTCGTTCGCTTGCTACGGCTGACTCGAGTACTGATCTATGGGACTGAAGGAAAGTGTCCCTGCTGCCCTTACCAAGGACAAGAAGCGGATACATGGAGAAGAGATAGCTGTGCATCTCGCCTGGAAATCCACCCTATATGTCACAAACTTTCCCGAAACCGCGGACGATAAGTCCATCCGGGAGCTCTTTGGCAAGGTATGTGTACGATATAGTCTATCATTCGGAGGAGTGAGCCGACTATACGTTATAGTATGGCGTGCTATTCGACGTCCGGTGGCCTAGCAAAAAGTTTAAGAGTACTAGAAGGTTCTGTTACGTGCAATACACATCACCAGTAGGTTGCAGGTTTCATGTGCTTCGCGTGATCTGATTGTTACCCTATTAAGAGCGCAGCTGAAGCTGCCCTCGAGCTTCACGATCACGAACTCGAGCCGGATCGTACCCTGCAAGTATATATCTCAAACCCTGAGCGAAAGAAAGAGCGGACGGACGCCGATGCGAATGATCGCGAGCTGTACGTCGCAGGATTGGCGAAGTCGGTCAAGAAAGGAGACTTGGAGAAGTTGTTCAGCACGGTGAGTACTTACGTGGGGGATGCTGAATATCTGATAATGTTTATTGTCCGGTTAGTACGGCACGGTCAAAGACATCCGGATGGGATTCGACGAGAAGGGCCAAACAAAAGGTTTCGCGTTCGTGGAGTTTGAACAAGACGTTGGTGTCTCGTCTCTTCTCATTAAGCTACTGAGTCTAGCTCACTTCAAACACAGAGAGATGCGCTGGCTGCTCTTGCAGCTAATAATCACGAACTGAAGAAGCGCCGCATAGCTGTGACGCTAGCCGACACGCGGGCCAAGAGCAGCAAACACTCGTAAGTAATGATTATCGTGCATTTTTGCGTTATATGACACCTGTAATTCAGGGCACCAGGGAAGAGGCGACCCGAAGAGGTCCGCAACCGGTCTATCCGGTTACGTGGGCTGCCTGCTGGAACGCAGGAAGGTCTTCTGCAACAAATGCTCGATAAGCTGGTCAAAGTTCGGCGTGTCGAAGTGTATGCTGGCCGGAACGAAGCGGTGATCGAGTGTGAGTCTCCTGCTGTAAGTAATCGGTCAGACAGCTATGTCGTGCCTTACCGCTAACAGCTTCATGTAGGAGGCTGGAAAGCTTCTGCTACACCCTGAGCCGATTGTGTTCAACGGTAGCACGCTTCAGCTATCTGAAGAGGGCCCTGAGACGACCGGCAGTAAACGACTAGCCGGACCATCTGCCACTGCGGGCAGCGGGCTGTATATACCACGCTCAGCAGTCTCGAGACCTCGTGCGGGCCTCGGAAGCAAGAAAACGGCGAATATTACTGTCTCTGCTGCTGCATCTGCCACAACTGCAGCCACTCCCGGCGCGAGCTCTGGGGCTGTGAAACCATCGCTGGCCGCGGCAAAAGGGCAAGACGACTTCCGCAAGATGTTGGGCGTCTAAATATCGTGTGAACAATCACGAATGGAGAACGCGGGGTAATAGCGCGCTTGCGGACACTACTTTGATTCTAACCACGACTGTTGTCGACGACCTCGTGTATGCTTCACTATAATGGATTCCAACGAGTTTATGGAGAGCACTACTGTGCGTTTTGAGTGGACTGTCCGTGATCTTGCCGAGTTGTTTGACAATAGGTGCGTTCCTCTTACTCAGGGATGTGCATTTGACGTGTAGGTGTGGCAAACGAGAGACGACGCTGACCTCTTCCCCACAGCAAGGGAGAGATAAAGTCGAAGGTGACAAAGTCTGCCAAGTTTGGTGGCGGTCGCTGGCAGGTAAGGGGGATGTCAGCTCACTGAAGAAACTAAACGCGGAATGGCTACAGATCCTTTTCTATCCCAACGCGGGTATTGTCAATGCAGATGGCCAAGGTTTCGTGAGTCTGTATCTTGCGTGTGAAGTGAGTGGTTATGTCTCCAGTTTTCCTAGATGCTGACACAGCTGTGCAGCCTACGGCAGAAGAGAAAGATAACGCAGTGAACGGCAAGTAAGTGTGATCGACCCACTATATGCGCTGCATCATGGGCTGAAATGCCAGAAGATGGGTCCGAGAAGGTGTTTATAAGTTTGGGTTTGAGCTGCGCAAGTACGAAAGTCGCCTTTCAGTACCTTTTGAACACGGCTGAATTTCATCTCAGTCCTTCGAGGACAATTCTTTTCAACAACAAGGAGGCAAACGACCATTCTTTCTCATGGAAGGTAGGCTCACTTAGTTTGCGCTTGTTGCTGTACTCTGACCAACGTAGACTGTGAACTGGGGATGGTACTTGCGCTCTCGCCACCACTCAAATCATCGTGTCGCTCGCTGATATCCCGTTGCAGGGCTCAGTTTGCCCGAAGAGATACTGTATTCTACCAAGCAAGTTCAGTCCGTCAAGCGGATGCTATGCTGATTACCTGTACGATCACCTCGTCGCCGGTGCCACCAGTGCCTCCACCGGCCATTCCAAGACAACCTGTGCCAAAGGACCTGTTGGACGCGATGGGCAGCCTTCTGGACGAGTGAGCTCTACTCTTTTTTCCCCTTGCAAATTCGTTTGTTGATGGCTCGCAGCCCCGCATACTCTGACGTGGAATTCGTTTTGCCGAGAAGACGAAGGAAGGGCGTTAGAATAATCTACGCTGCGGGACGATTACTGCGGAGGGTTGACTACTTCGACACTAGTGAGTATTGGACAACATTACATCTGTCACACATGCTTACCTTGTCATACACAGTGTTCCATTCTGGATTCGCGGAAGGAATGCGCCTGGAACCACTACCGGCAGACCTAGGTGCAAATATAACCGTCGCGGATCCGGACACCGAGATGACATGTGCGGAAGATGAAGATTTAGGTGGTAGCCTCCCCCACCGTTTTCAGGACTCGGATGACGAAGATGATAATGATGACCTCGTCATGGCCGATGACACGGAAATTCAGCTGCCACGGTCGGAAACAGAGAAGGTAGATGTGCAAGGAGACTCAGGCGGTTGGGTTAACATGGAGGATGACCGCTTCGGCGTCCGTTCAGACTCTCACGAAGTAGCAGAGCAGCGCGATACTGCCAGAGTGCCGTCCCGTGCGTCACGGCCCGGAACACCTCGTCAACCCGTGACCAGCAACCTTGGTGCCGTCGATAGGCCTGGTATTATACCGGGCCGCGAAGACTCGACTAAAAATGTTTTGGGTCCTCGAAAGGTCCGTGTCGTGGTGAGGGATGTTGCGTACAGCACGTACCGAGCCGCCCTCTATTATGTGAGTCTTGATCTGGAGCCATAGCCTCCTGCGTGAGCACCCATATCGTCCAACAGATCTATACGGATACCATCGTCTTTGCTCCACTCGCTTCTTCTTTCACGAATCACGGCTACTTCAGCCCTATGCCTCCAGCTCTCAAGCAGCCTCGGTCGATTGGTTTGTCCACTCCAGCAGCGACGGCACCAGAGACGCAGGGTATTTTTCAGCTCGGTCACACCCAGAAGTCCTCGCTATCATTAGACATAGCGCCAGGCCATCCGTCTTCTCGGAAAGAGTGGATCGCTGAATGGGAGAAAAACAATCCTGGAAGACCGCGACCCTGCTCTGCAAAGGCAGTATACCGCCTAGCTGACAGTGGGTTGTTAGCGTGCGTTGTTTCTAGGCATGTACTCACTGATACCTTCGTAGAGCTTGATTTGCAGGAATTAAAGGACCGGGCATTCCAGCACATTATCAAGTCACTCGCTGTAGATAATGTTGCGTACGAAGTGTTTTCTGATTTCTCCGCTGCGTTTGAGGACGTTCGGAAGGTGCGCGCGGCCTCCCATACTGACTATATGGCCACAATTGATTTTCTATACAGGTGGAAGTGCAGTTCTTCCTGGACCACTGGGCTGACATCCGGAGCTCCGATGCTATGCGCAATGTCTGGCAGCAGATCAGAGTCGGCCGCCACCCTGGTTTCGAAGAAGGTCCGTGCTGTACATCTCCGCAGTTGAACATCGCCCTGACTTTACTCCACCAGTCTGGCCCTTAATTGCGGGAAATCTGGAGTTCAAGCCACTCAGCAAGGCTGATACCACAAAGGAAGGGGAAGGGATGTAATGGAAGAGATATCCTGGCAGTTTCTCCGCACGTTGATGGAATGCTTTATGCTGACAAGGTGTGCGCGTTAAAATACAGTAGATGGTCATTGGCATAAATACGTTGGACGTGTCATGACCGACGTCATCATTCTCCGGTAGCCAACTTCTGTCACCGGGCAGAATGGTAGTCATGAACCCTCTGCCGAGCTTCGACCCGGCGGGGAGAGTTCAACACGTTTGAAACTCTAGCGTCGTATATAGCTGCGCATACTTAGTAAGTTAATCCGACAGAAATCGACTCCCCACGGGCAACATTGACCATGTCCCTCAACCACGACGGCCCAAGAATTGCCACTACATCCGCTGCTCATGCGTGGTCTCCAAATGTTGCCGGTGTGCACCAGGACCCCTATGTTCAGACAGAGGATAGTGCCATCGAGACAAAGACGGCTGTCTCGTCGAGATTTTGGCCTGGTGGCTTCAGCGGTCCCGCCTCAGAAGACCTCGTCCTTGTTTCTTGTGACAGAATCTCCTTCTATGTGCATTCAACAGTAATCCTTGCAGCGTCATCCAACTCTTTCGCCGACCTCATCCGCTCCACACGCCTCGCCGTTGCGAGCAGAAATGTCGAGCACGACGTCGTCAACGTCCGCGAGACGTCATCCGTGCTCAACATTATCTTACACAGCATCTATAATTTGTCTTGCGCACCATACGCTCCGACGAACGGTGACCTCATCACCGCCGTCGACACTTTCCCAAGGTACGGCTTCTCTGTGCACACGCATGTAGCGCCTTCGACAGCCTTCTTCCAGGTCCTCCTCTCACGGGTACACACTGACCCGCTCGAGTTCTATGCCCTGGCGGGCCACCACGACCTGTACGCGCTCGCCTCGTGTGCGTCGGCGCACCTTCTGGGACTTAAAGTCGGCAGCATACCGGTCGAGGTTGTCGAGAGGATGGGCCCCGTCTATCTCAATAGGCTGCTCTCGCTCCACCAGACGCGCCTGGACGCCCTGAAGGCGATCCTCGCAGGCCCGCCCGCACCGCACTCGCTCACGTACGGCTGCGACGAGGAGAGCCAGGCCTCGCTCGCCCGCGCATGGTCCTTGGTCGCTGCGTATCTCATCTGGGAGATGCGGCCACGTGCGTAATCCACCCAGGTACGTGTACGCGCCCGACATGTACTGACCGGGGCCCGTTTTTTTTTTCGAACTCGTTAGAGCTGACGCCGATCTCGCTGGAACTGACCCTGGGACAGCTGGCGAGGAACATCCGCTGCCCGTTGTGCAAGACGTCCTTCGACGCACGTCTCGCCGGGGTCATGACCGCGTGGGGTTTCGTTCAGGTGAGGCTCGTTCTTTCTGGCAGGAACGTCGGCATGTCGCTGACGGAGACACATGGCGTAGCAATCGATTTAAGAGGAGAATCAGCGAGACGACGTGCGCGCGCCCACAACTCAAGCTGGCACCTCAGTCTCGGTCACCTCCACTTTTAGCGACTTTCGCATCACGCTCACCAAAAAATAAAATAAAAACAAGAAATAAGAAACCCGGTATCATCTTGAAGGCTGTGGCCCTCAATTACTTTCCTCGTTTGTATACACTTGTGCTATCTCGTCCGGTCTTATGCCTGTAATTAGTAGCAGCCATTAGTTACGTCATACGTGACGTGCATAGTGAATGTGAGAAAGCTCCACCTCCCCGTTCACACGTGGGGGAGCATGTTGCCTTCAAATGTGATCAGCTGCATCTTGTTCGTCGCATGGTCGTCTGTCGGCACTGTAGCTAGGACAGAATGACAGACATTTTTGGAGACATAATGGCTTGGCTTGCAATGCATTGTCTGTGTCTGCGTCTCTGAAGACGGCAAGCAGTCGGAGGTGCGTGCTGCGGGCCTTTTGTCATGCCCCCCGCTGTAAGAGGACTGAAAACTGTCGCACAACTCAAGAGACAGTGAAAACGCCACATCACTCCTCGCCGGACGCCATCCCGGTGCACCACGCCACATAGCGCCGTGCGGTAGTACAGTCACGCTTGGACTCTCGTTTGACCGCTGTCTTCCCGTCGCTCTACCAGACTGGACGGATGGGCACGGTACTAGTCGGCTCGATTCAAGCATGAGCCAGCGGCGACAACAAGGAAAGCAGTACAAAGGCGACCAAGAAGACATCGACAACACGACGAAGAAGCAAGGGTATCCCAACACGCTGATAATACATACAAGAGCCAGTCAACAAAAAAAAAAAAACGGAACGCCGCCAAGTAGTAGCCGACAGCCTCTGAGACATCCCTGCCCGCCTCCGCGTGGCGAGTCATCGCGAAGGGTACGACGAGCGGGATCTGTGCTGGCCCCCGGCGCCGCTCCCGCTCCCGCTGCCCGAGGAACCGCGCCTCCGGGCGAGTAGCGGCGGGGGAGGGGGCGGAGGAAACGTGTAGCTCGCAGCCCCGTGACCTCCCTGGCCCGCATCTGCGAACGATTGTGGGGGCGGCGGCGGGGAGAGCGCGCCGAGCGAGGAAGACGCACTGGTACCAGACCCGCTGCTGCTGCCAGACCCGCCGCTGCTCCCCGCGGACGACGAGCGACGGAGGATGACCATCAGCCCGTCGCTGTGCGCGCTGAAGATCGCGTCTACGGCCAGCTCGTCCGCCTGTCCGCGCCAGAGCGACGGCGGCTGCGCGTAGCCACCTCCTCCACCGCCACCGCCTGTGGTGCTCGTGCCTGTGCCCGTGCCCGTGCCCGTGCCCGGCGTCGGCGGGCGCTCGCGCGTCAGCTCGCGCAGAAAGTCGTTGCCGGCGCGTGCCCGGCTGCTCGACGCGGGCGGTGGGACGTCGGTGGGGCGCAGGGTGTGTCCGTGCGTGCGCTGCGGGCGCGAGCGGTGCCGCAGGGCGGGGGAGACGTCGGTCGTGCGTGCGCTGCGGGGAAATAGAGGGAGAGGGAGAAAGAGAGAGAAACGGCGTGCACGTTTTCAGCTGCCGTCGTTCGTCCGGCGGGGAGGGGAGAAGAAAAAAAAAGTATGTTCGCACCTCGAGTCGCGGCCGGTGACGAAGAGCGCGAACTTGCCGTAGCCGAAGCCGCCGTCGCTCGGCTGGCCGCGCTCGTTGACGCCCCAGCCCTTGATGACGTCGATCCAGGAGCGGACGAGCCGCTCGTCGCGGGGGGCGACAAAGTCCCAGAACGGCCGGCCGAGCACGTCCGTCGTGCGCAACAGGCTGTCGTTCGAGCAGTAGCTCACCGTGCAGCGCACCGTGAAGCGGTCCAGGATAAGCGCCGTGCGCACGGACTGCTCCGGCAGCGGGTCAAAGTGCTCCGGGTACGTGTTGTGCGGCAGCGACGGGGGCGAGCCTGTGCGGTGCGGCAGCAGGTGCGCCGGCACGGGGGAGGGCGGCATCGGGCTCGGGTCGTTCCATCGCTAGGGACACGCTGCTGAGCCGGGGTATGCACGGGCAGAAGAGGACGGGGGGGGGGGTGGTACGCACGCGAAACTCAAAGTCTTTTGCGGTGGGCGTGATGATGGTGACCTCCTGGGCGGTCGATGCGTTGTGCATCGCCTTGGGCCCCGGCGTCGCGTAGGACACGCTGCCGACGAGGACGTTCTGGCAGACGGTGCGGGACTGGGCCGGGGACCGGCATCAGCCGAGGCGGATCGAGAAGACCGGCGGGAACTCACGATGGCACACAAGACGTAGCCTTTGCATGGGTCCTTGTGCCGCATGCGGAGGTATGCGAGGACCGCGGCTTGGTCCTGGGTGATGGTGGAGTAGTGGATGCCGCGCACCTGGGCAAACTCGTCGGGGTGCACGAGCTCGAGCGAGGGCCTCCCTATGAGCTCGCGGGGCTCAAAACCTGGAACGGCATCTCAAAAGGTTTGGCAGCGCGGGGCGGCAGGTGGGCGCACCTAGCAAGTCGTGGACGGATGCTGAGCAGTACAGCCACTTTGCCTAGTGTTTCCAGAGTCTTCAGCAGGCCGTTCGGATGGAGAAGGACTCGGGCTCTTACATCCTCGGTAAAGTCGACGATGCCGACTGGGTTGTTGGTGAGCACGGTCGCAGACGAGGGGGCAAGCGGAGACGTACTGAAAGACACGCTTGGGCTGTGGTCCATGGTGCAGAGCCGGGGGCGGAGGGCAACA